CCTTGTTAACAGCACCAACAAGACCCCGACAGTATAAAAATTATCTGTACCGTGTGTAAGCATCCCATATGTCTTTCCTGTGCCTGTTGATTATATTCCTCTTTCAACAAACCTTTTAAGCTGAAATCTTTCCCAGTCTGCATCTGCACTGGATTTCTTTTTTAAAAATGTGCTTATTGCTTTATCACTTGTTGTTTGCCATCCTGGGCTCCTTTGGAAGGAAGGGTGGGATATAAATTAAATAATAAATGAAGTAAACATGTTTTAACTGTTTCAGTTTACTTTCCACCTGCTTGCGATTTCATAGGTTCTTCTATGTGTACAGTGCTAATGTCATGTAAAACAGGCACTTCTTTGGTGAGACAGCCAATACCTAGATAGAAGACAGGTTGAGAGGTCAGATCAAGAGCTTCTACGTTCCTATACAGCTCAGAAATCTCAGGTTTAGACTCCAGCCCAGTCATCAGATGCAGAGCCAAACCCTTCTGCAACCGAAAAGTCTCTGCAAAAGGGTTTGCCGCTATTTTTCCTTTTCATTCTTTTAGCATCTCAGTAAATCCAGCAGAGACATTACTGTTCCTCATGATGCGAGCATACAATGTGAAATGTAGTCATGCAGTTTAAATGGGGAATTAATCAGCATTCAGAGCTCTAGGAGATTGACAGGGAGCTGGCTCTGTCAGTCATCTGCAGCAGGACTCTAAGGCCTAATTTTCCTAAGTGAAAATGTGCTTTCAAAATTGCAATGCAATTTTCAAAAATGGGAGCTGAATATTTAAATACTCATTCTTTTCAACATGACTGTTTGCTGTCCAGCTGCTGCTTATGTCTATGTCTGTGTCTATTGGGATATGGGATTTAAAAAATAATAATAATGGGGGGGGGAATGCATTCTGCATTGCAGTTTACACCAGTGACCCCAAGGCAATGCCCAAGTCAATTGCAGTTTCAAGCTTTCCAAGTCTTAAGATGATATTGCAAGGTTTTAATAAAATAAAATAAATAAATAAAATAAAATAAAATAAATAAATAAAATGGGTGTCTCTTTATGCTGCTCCTTTGCTTTCTCCCATATAAATGAATAGCTATCATTTATTACTATGGGGGAGGGGGATAAGGAATGCAATGAGACTAACCCATTCTCCATTCCTGTTGTTGGGTGGCCCAACACTCACAGGGATCTTGCAGTGGAGTGTGCCAATGTTTCTTTCAGCACAACACTGCACTCCTCAAGAGCTCCCTACAATACAGAGGCCCTCCCGCCACACTCCTCTGTCCATCATAATGACAGCTCTAATATAATAATGGACAATGCATGTAAAAAAGGGAGGGCACTCTATGGAGTGTAATATAATAAGGAATGTGACACAGTGGAAACAAAGACATGCACAGAACATTACATGATCAGACACTTACTTCCTATTCTTGCTGCAGTTGGAGTTCACCCCAGCTGCCTCACCAGGCTAGTTGCAGCAACTTCCTCTACAAGTTGCTGTGACAGAGATATGTCTATTATTCACGCCAACTGGCATTTTACCAAGTGTCCAAGGTACGTCTCAAGTTTTGCCAACTTGAAAAAGCCATCAGGGACCTCTCGAAGCATTTTGACTGTTTCATTTCTATAAATCAACCATTTCCAGGACACACACAGAATAGATAGAAATCACATCTACATAAGATTACAAGTTGAAGGTGCCTATTTCGTTCTGCAAAAAAGTCGCCAATTTACTATAAAAAGGGATATTCTGATTTTTAGAAGGCAGTTATAATATAGTTTCCGTAGTTCTCACTGGCATGGTCAGTCTGTGTCTGGACTGTACAAGTTCAGACAGTAGGCAGAGGACTCACACAACTGAATGCCCCTCATTAAAACAACAACAACAACAACAACCCCAGAAGTCCAAGAGAATGGTTCAGGCTCTGAAATACTTGTTTTCTGTGTGGAGAGAATTGTGCAGAATAGCAGAAGACTCGTCAGCTAGGTGAGCACCAAGCACTCTGGACTGGTGAACATAGATTTACCAATTCAGAAGACTTTCTTTTACTTATAAAGTTTCAATATATTAATATATTTCAGGGACACTGCACGGTATCCAACTAAACAGCTTGGCTAGTGCAAGAAATTTTAACTGCACAATGGTATGTCGCAACCATTTCTTCTCCCTGTGTGCCCCCTCCCCGGTGCCCTCTGTAAGTTTACTCTGGAGGGTTGGGGGAACCCCTGGAGCAGATTTAGGGGTCACACAAGGAGAGGGCAAGGAAGTTCCATTGCACAGCTGAGACTGCTTGCAGTAGCAGAACTGTTTAGGTGGATACCACTCTCTATGGCTGCAATCCTATATCCACTTGCCTGGGAGAACTGAACTCAGTGGCACTTGCTTCTGGGTAAAGACATACAGGATTGCATGGTAAGTCCCACAATTTATTCAACTATCTCTAGAAAGGTCAGGGTGCATAAGGTCTTCTCGGTGCCTCCATTCATCTTAGCTGCAAATAGGCCCCTTATACATTGGGGAAGTCCCATTATTGCATTGCATGTAATATGCCATTTTAAAAAGTGGGCCTTTCCTTGGCTTAATAGATAGTTATTTGTTTCATGGTTTAATTGTATTCCATCCAGCTTCATCAACAGCAACTAAAGAGTCATAATAAGTACAGAAATATGGTGACAGATTCTTAGCCAGATTATTAGCCAGGCGAAGACGGTGCTCAGAATAAATGTATTAACTAGGCACATGCACTTTAATTTGTACTGTGTTTTTTTTTTAAAAAAAATATCCATTTATGAATTGCATTAGTGAATCTTGTAATAAAAATATTTTAATGAACTCATGGCATCATATGACCCTGTAAAATTATGTCAGCCCAATACCTGAAGAGGTGTTATTAGACATTGTTCTTATTAGTGTAATTATAATGCTGATTTAAAGGAGCTGAAAATTGGGGCATAAAGGTTGTTATAAGAGATAGGTAGAGTGAGTATGTGTATACTTTGCTAATATCCTTCTCTTGATGTGGCATAATGAGTTCCTAGGCAGAACTGTAGCACTCTGCAGGGTAAAGGTTGCATGAATTAAGCATGCAGAATTCAGTTCTAGGTTCTCCCAGTATGTTTGTAAATGCATGAGACATACACATCGGGGAAGGTGGATAATCTACATTTGCATCATGGTTAAGGTAAAGGTAAAGGGACCCCTGACCATTAGGTCCATTCGTGACCGACTCTGGGGTTGCGGCGCTCATCTCGCTTTATTGGCCGAGGGAGTTTGTCCACAGACAGCTTCCAGGTCATGTGGCCAGCATGACTAAGTTGCTTCTGGCAAACCAGAGCAGCGCACGGAAACGGCAAGTACTTGCACTTTGACATGCTTTCAAGTACTTGCACTTTGACATGCTTTCAAACTGCTAGGTTGGCAGGAGAAGGGACTGAGCAACGGGAGCTCACCCCGTCGCGGGGATTCGAACCACCGACCTTCTGATCGTCAAGTCCTAGGCTCTGTGGTTTAACTCACAGCGCCACCCGCATCCCTTGCATCATGGTTACCAGCTAGTAAATTACATCTTCTGTATTTTCCTGGAATAAATAACTTGTAACAGTACAATTATCAATGTGATATCTTACAATACTTCACTGTTTAGATGAGGTCTCATGTTGCACCAACACTCTGATAGGCTTAGGTTTATGGTTCCCAGTTCCCACAATAGGGTACAACCCCACATCCTGGCACCAGAGCAGAGCCAGAGACCCCATTTCAACCACAGTGCTGGCCTATCACCAGCCATTATACAGCATCTTAGCAGCCTTTTCAATTTACAACAGCCACAATGGTCAATATATTATGGGGTTTTCATATCATTTCCATTTCCAAATCATATGACTAGAAGGACCTATAACTTGGAGAAAACAAGAAAACAATCAACCTCAACACTAGGGTCATTGAGTGCAGTTAGGAGCGTCAGAACAAAAGGTACCTGTTCTTCCTCCCTAAAAGGAGATGGTCCAATCTTGCGCCCCATTGATGTCAGTTCCCAAGCTGCCTCTAAGGCTTCTCCTGACCCATTTTCAAGTCTGAGGAACTTGGGTAAATCAGCATCAGTTGGTCAATGGCATCAATTACTTTATACCTGTTACAGTATAAAGTAACAGGCATGTTTTCAACAGGGATTTTGCATTTCATTCCAGGCTAATTTCCTGGCTTTCTCTTTGCCTTTGGGCCTCCCTTGCCTTGAGGTCTCTTGGTACCTCACCTCCCATATTTTCAACCCATGTCTGGGCACTCTAAGGCCATTCTATGGCTGCAGCTGCATCCACTCATGCTTCCTCACCATCCCTGATTGACTCTCCTGGTCCCACTTTGAATCAGCGTAAGAGGAAGTAGCAGTACTTCCTAGTGGCATTATATCTGGGCGGTGCTGCCCTTAGCTTCCGTGTTGGCACAACTGAGATGTCACTTAGAGTGCAGCAGTCCAACAGACCCCTACACTATAGAATACTGGAAATGCAAAGGTTATTTCAGATGATGCACTACTCCTTGGAAGCATGGACATAACGGTCATATTTGCCAACCACAGCTACTAATTGGTGTCCTGAAAAATTGATGCTGCATTCACACGGCAGTTTATTCCGTTTTCTCAACATTTCCCCAACTGTTACTTTCTGCATTATAGGTAGTTGAGCTTTCACAAGACTTAAAAGCCACTTCCACGGTAGAATATACTGCAGCTTTAGTGCTCATTTCTGTGTTATTTGCAAATGGATTTTTTTCTGGAAGCAAAATGTTAGGGAAACATCAGGGAAATGAAATAAACTGGTGTGAGAATGCAGTATAAATTAAAAGTATTATTGGCAGTTTATTGAACAGGCTTATGACAGAGTTTAAGCCCACAAAGGGGCTGTTATGGTAGGCACTAAATGCAGTTGTTGGATCATAAACTATGATCTTTGTAAAAAAAAAGCAGATAAAATGCAATTATATAATTTTCATATGCTTCCCTTGCAGGCTGATGAGTGTCCTATTGCTAACTGGTCATGTGAAGTGGTGGAACTGCTGTGGAAAGAAGGCTTCTTTCATACAAAAGATTATGAAATGAATCACACACTCACAGGCCAGGTAAGTAGGTCTATTGTTTGTAGGAAAAGAAGAGTGTCACCACCACCCCAAAAAATAAATGCAGTTGGGCTTTCAGATCAGATGTGTTCTGTAGCACGCCAAGGTTTGTCCTGCAAAGTCATTGAATTAGCCTGTAGATACAACTTGTGTAAGCAAGCAGAGATTGCCACACCAATAAATAAGCAGTGGCGTAGCTAGGTGCTCCGGCACCCAGAGCGGTACACATGCCGTGCCCCTGGGGGCGGGATGATCTGCCCATGGGCGGGGCCAATCCACCCAAGGGGCGGGGCAATCCACCCATGGAGCCAATTGGAGCAGCTGCGCAATCCTCTCCAGGGGTCAATCTCGGCACGGGGGGGGCACCGAATGTCACCCCCTTCAGGCTGAAGAGGGGTGACATTCCCCCACCCCGTGACTCCCAAGCCTACAGCGAGCTGGGGGAAGGGGGAGAGCTGCAGCAGCTGCTTTGCTGCTCGCCGGGCTTGGGGGAGTCGCGGGTGGGGGGGCCGTGCCGAATGTCACCCCGTTCATGATGACACCTGGTGTGGACCGCACCCCCGTTGCCAAGCCCCTGTAAATAAGGTTTAAGGGTTAGTTGTAAAAAGTGCTGACCCAAAATGGATCAGGCCAAAGACCCACCTAGTTCAAGTTCTCACAGTAGCGAATCAGATGATTGTGAGACCAGGGGTGCCAACTTAAATAAAATATGGAGGGGCCTAGGAAAGCCCTGCCCCACATAAGCAATTATATAACGCACACCATTTGAAGGGGGCAGCCCCCTCAAATATTTTAGGGGGGCAAAGACCCCTCAACCCCTAGGATTTGGCTCCCATGTGTAGGACGCTGAGAATAATAATAATAATAATAATAATAATAATAATATTATTATTATTATTATTATTATTATTATTATTTATACCCCGCCCATCTGGCTGGGTTTCCCCAGCCACTCCAGGCGGTTTCGAACAAAACACTAAAATACAATAACCTATTAAACATTAAAAGCTTCCCTAAACAGGGCTGCCTTCAGATGTCTTCTAAAAGCTTGGTAGTTATTTTTCTCTTTGACATTTGGTGGGAGGGTGTTCCACGGGGCGGGTGCCACTACGGAGAAGGCCCTCTGCCTGGTTCCCTGTAACTTGGCTTCTCGCAGCGAGGGAACCACCAGAAGGCCCTCAGTGCTGGACCTCAGCGTCCGGGCAGAACGATGGGGGTGGAGACGCTCCTTCAGGTATACTGGGCCAAGGCCATTTAGGGCTTTAAAGGTCAGCACCAACACTTTGAATTGTGCTCGGAAACGTACTGGGAGCCAGTGTAGGTCTTTCAAGACTGGTGTTATATGGTCTCGGCGGCCGCTCCCAGTCACCAGTCCAGCTGCCGCATTCTGGATTAGTTGTAGTTTCCAGGTCACCTTCAAAGGTAGCAGGATTTGAGTGCAACAGTACTTTCCCTAACTCTGATTCCCAGCATCTGGTCGAGGGGAGACAGTAGCTCCTTCCACAACATTTAGCTGTTGTCTCTATCGCGCAACGTTCAGCTCAGTATCACAACTTTCTGTGACCTACGAGGTAATGAAATTTGTTGCTTGTGTATACCTTGGAAGTAGCAATCAATCGAAAGAAGGGCAAAATGACAGACTCACTCTGATAGACTGGGCCCAAAGGAGCCCAAGTGGCTTATGCAATTAAATACAGAGAAATGCAAGATAATGAGATAAGGGACACATAATAAGGAAAGGATTTCTTTCCTAAACACTCACATAGTTCCAAAACACCAAGCAAAAAAAAGAAGGGAAAAAAGAGAAAAGACCTGACAGTAGAGATCAAAAGGAAACTGCACATGGCTACAGAAATAAAGTAAATGGTAGCACTGACTCACAGAGAGAAAGGCTATGATAGCAGCCGCAGTTATTCTTGCCAAATATGAGTGATTTATGAATGGGATCACTTTTTAGTACTGAGGAGCTGAGCACACCTTATTATGAAGAAGGGCAATAGGGAAAAAAATAGGGGTGGGGGAGAGAGACTGGGAACTTAATTATTCATAAATGTCAGAGAACAGAAGGGAATGGTCTGTAGTCTTTTGAAAATAGAAGAATGAGAGCCATCCCCTCAAGGAGGAATTCAAAATTCTGAAGCCAACAGAGAGGACAGATGTTTCAAAGGCAAGCTTGCAGTGCTGCAAGACACTGAGAGCCAACCTACATGGGTGATGCAGGGAAGTTCGCAATTGGCTCTCCTGAGGTTCTTCACTTTGAAACAGATTGGTAGTCGGGTTGCCTATTGAGGGTTTTTGGTGAGCCAACATGACAGTGATGTGGGATTGAGGACTGGAGTGATCGTTCTGTGGTATTATGGCAGTGGACAGAGCTCAAGTGTAACTTTTCAATAAATGTGTTTTAAACAAACAACAAACTGTAGGATGAAGGGCCAAAGCTCCTCAACCTTCAACACAAACTACTCTGATCAAATGTGGAGTCCCCTAAACTTATTTTTTAAAAATAAATAAATAAATAAATTGGGGAAATTCATCCATAGATTATCTGCTGTGAATTATTTCTAATAGGCACTTTAAAAAAAATCAAGAGGCAAACTCATACAACTACTCTGAATTACATAGTGCTTATAATATAGATTTCCTGTGAGAGGCAGCCACAACTGACCTGCATCAGCATAATTTTTATTCTCCCATAACAATGTAAACTCATGGCACATGCTTGGAAGTTTCCCATATCTCCTGCTACAATCAGTAAAATTACTCCATCTTGACCAAAAATTATCCTGACTTTGCTTTTGTTCTCTAAATCTGATAAAGTGAGTTAGTTTAACGATTAATCCTCAGCCCCATATTTTTACCATGCCATTCTTTGATACCTCGTATAGTTGATGATCTCTACTCCCCTGCGTATAAAGTCCTAGCTGCTGCTAAGAAAGGAGTTCTATAAGGCTCTTAACAAACACATTCTTGCATGTCTTTCTGCCTACTATGCAAATACAGATTTCTGTTCAATATAATGCATGCTTGTATTTCAAAAGTGGATATATGCATTTTTAATCCCTCTTCCTAATATGTACATTTGTACATATTTTTGGCTGGAGGACTACATCACAACATTCAGAGAAGTGCAGATTCTGGAAACATATAGCTGCCTTTCAGTTCACAATCTTATAAGAAAAACTGCTCCTTTTCCATTATGGGGTATCCAAGAGCCTGTATAGAGTCCTTAAGGAGGTTCCCTATCGGAAGGAGAAAATAACAGAGGCCAACCAGAGAATATTGAGAAGCAAAGCAGCTAGTAAGCCTGATATGTATTAACTGTTGCAACAGGGTGCTCACTGCCACACACAGGAGGCAGGAGGGACCCCGAACAATGATGTGCAAGCCCTTATATAGACTTTTGAAGTTGCCCACCCTGTAGCCAGAGCCACCCCTAAAACATCATACATACATACATACATACATACATCACAGAAAGAGGCGGTCTACAGCAGAAATCCTGTCTACCAGGATAATGGTCACTGACTGCATTACCTGGACAACCCAACCATTCTTTTGTGATGGTAAATACTTTAATTCCTGAATCCAGGTTGCAGGCGCACCCTATTCATACACAAAGACACCCTTAAGACAGGTAAGCAAAAGACAATGGAGAGGCTTTCCCATTTCCTTCCTCCTTGCAGAGAAATATTTGAGGTCACTACTGGGAGAGTCAAAATGACTTCAGGATTTTTCTCCTGTACTATTTTAGACATGTGGTTTATATACTTATGTATGTGTTTTCCTTGTAAATTTATGAAACGCTTATTTTATATTTGGGACCTTAGAATTTTTATACAGTGGTACCTTGGGTTACAGATGCTTCAGGTTACAGATGCTTCAGGTTACAGACTCCAATAACCCAGAAATAGTACCTCAGGTTAAGAACTTTGCTTCAGGATGAGAACAGAAATTGTGCTCCAGTGGCGCGGCAACAGCTGGAGGCCCCATTAGCTAAAGTGGTGCTTCAGGTTAAGAACAGTTTCAGGTTAAGAACGGACCTCCAGAATTAATTAAGTACTTAATCTGAGGTACCACTGTAACAACATATTGTTTCAGAGTGTGAGAATTAGGGAGGTTTGTATTAAAATGCATACTGAGCCAAACGTATCCCCAGTTGTAAGCATAGTGTGCTCAAGATTGCATCCAAAGGCCTCATTCCAGCAGGCTGCTGTGTGTGCGTGTTGTCTGGTTGGAAAGCCCCAAACACTAGTTTGGGCCGTGCAGCCTTAGTCAGACTCTTGGAAACAGTGCCAATCAGTTCAGAAATGAGAGGGAGGAGGAGTGGACTGCATCCTCCCCACTCCCCAGCCTCCAGCAGATGATTGGCAAACACTATTGCAGATGATCTTATCAGGGTTGCACAGCTTCTGGGCTTTTTGATTCTGCAGAAACATGAGTTCAGCACAAGCCCCACAAATTGGGGCAATACTATTCCTTTAGCTCCCTTTGAATACAGGAGAAAGAAGTGCTATTGCAGTATCTAGCCGAAGTGTGGGAGGGATTATTACAGTGACAAGAATTGAAAATGATTTTTAAATACTGTTTGCACATTAATAAATCACATCCATTTTTCATTTATCACCACGTCAGCTTTGTGAGGTGCAGCTGCAGTGCTTTCAAGTGAGGGATAAGTTAATTTGTAAAAAAAAAAAAACTTTAAAAAGTGAAGACAAGCGCACAAGCTGATTTATTATCATTGAAGGGGCGATGAAAGTCCACTTCGCTTTAAGTAGGGCTGTGTGTGCAACATATATTTAAACCACATTTAAGGCACCTGACTTCCCCCCAAAAGTCCTGAGAACCATAGTTTGTTGAGGGTGCCCAGCACTGTAGCCCTGTAGGGATAAACTACAGTTCCCAGTTGAATGTGTGCACCTCCTTCAATGAAGCATGGCACTCATGGTGATGTGGAACAACAGTGGCAATTCTGCCTGCAGTGTTACATCTGTGATGACTCATTC